CGAGAAACACGCATCCCACGAGAGTCGACGAGCGGACGCATACATGCGAACAGCAAGCACCATGAGGGTAGGAGGAAAGTCATGCTGCACCGCCGATCCAAGTAGCCGTCTCCACGGCACACGGTCAAAACACTTTTCAATATCTATAATCGCATGCACCGTGATGGGGGAGTCCGCCACCTCGATAGAGGTCGATTCAGCTTGGACCAACAGTCTTGCGGCAACATCCGTCGTGCTCTTCTGGGCCCCAAGCGCCAGGAAGCCCCGATTCAACGAGCTAGCCCAAGACCGAGCCCAATTGAGACGTGCCTTACCCCAAATGCGATAGATAGACGGAAGTAATGCAATAGGACGATATCCCCCAGACGGCTTAATCAGGAGGACGATGTGCACATGCTTGATTAGGGCAGGCCACTGGCCCCACGATTCGCAAAGATGGAATAAATAGCCCAAAACTGCCAGAGCACCATTTGACGCAAGTGCCCAATGCCGCGGTCGAAAAACATCTGCTCCGACCGCTGTGCCTCCCGCGAACTGTTTGGCAGCTCGACGAAGCTCACCGATCCTCAAAGGCGGCAGACGGGGGCCCTTCGCAATCAGCTCTTGCAAATCCCCCAGGTGATCATCACCAGAACTGTCCTGGACACTAGCCGCACAATGATCAGGCTCATGATCAACTCCAGCCCAGATCGACCCCCAAGCGGCCCTCTGGGCCGTGGCAATATCATCAGGAAAGCTGCTAGGGCCTAACTCAGTTTCAACTTCAGCGAGCTGCCACCCACGCGGCTTGGTCCAGCGGTGAACGGGGCCTGACTTGCCGCGCAACGCCTTCCTCAGCCAGGATGAAAAAGCCTTAGATCTGGCAGACCCAAGTCTGCGCTCTTCAGTCTCAGCCGCTCGACCGCAGAAGTCACCAAGGAACTGCAGCATGTTGCAATAGTACACCGGTGGCTGTGCCGATATACACGTGATGATATGCACAAGGTCGTTCACTAGGTACTTAGGCATCGACATGCGAAGTCTACCATCCTTCCCATGCCCACCCATAAAATCGACTAAGTGCGCCCAAATACGTGTGCATAATATAGTGTTATTGCGCTGGTATGCGTGACACAGATCATGAATGCGCTGCTGTAATGCACGAAGTGCGCGTGATAAGCGCGTGCCACTCGGCTGCTGCCGTGCCAAAGCGCCTCCTGCAGTGCTGTACGCATACCGTGGGCCCTCCGCTCGGCCCGAAAACTTGGCAGGCTGTCCGCCTGTGTCAAAGAGTGGTAGCAACTCCGCCTCCACTCCCTTGTACAAGTCTGCAGCAAGGTCATCCAAGCGTTGTGCATGACCTGCAGCATCACCGAAACCTAAACTTGCATCACTACGCATTAGCTGTGGCCATTCTACATCTGGAAGTCCACGATCAGCATAGACCAACTCTCCATCCTCGTCGTCATCTCCCATGTCGGGCGACACGACAGGGTGCACAGGTAGAAGTTGGGGCCCGAGTAGACGGCGAACTTTCTGAGCGCGAGGACGAGCCCCAAGAGAGACCTGGATGGGATAGTGCACACGCGCAGGGTATCCTCCACATATAGTCGGAGTACCCATCGCCGCCGCCAAAGCATCACTGGCCAGCCAGAAATCAATCTTTGAATAATTGCCAGACCCTGGATCCCGACAAGTGCCTTCGGCCGTGGCAACCACCCTCGCATCAAGCTTCGTGGTGATGTACGACTGTTCAATAACTTCTGGCTTGACATTCCAATCACCTGCCACGACAAAGGGCAGCCCGTAATATCGAAGGGATGAGCCCAGGCGTGAGATGCGGGTCGTATTCGCTCCGCCCAGCTTCAATCCCTGCTCGAGATACGAGGAGGCCACGACGAAGCCTCCACGTGGTCCAGCACGAACCAGAACGGCCACACTGAAACCAGGTACGACAACATGATCACGAAGGCAGGCCGAAAGCTTGACCACACCGATGTTGCTGCGCACAAAGAGGCCAACGCCTGCACGTGGCTTGTCTGACTCCGAAACAATTGCATCCGCGATGAAAGGTTGCCATCCTTGCCGCACACACCACTCTTCAGCTTGTAGCCGTCCATTCCCATGAAGGTGCAGCTCCTGCACGGCAACAATGGAAACATGTCGCATGTTGTCCAGAAAATCCTTGGCCTGGGGCCATCCTGAACTGTTGAAACTAACCATCATCAGCGACTTGCGTCGTGAACCACGAAGGCCTCGCCGCTGACGGTGAGCTGGCTGATCGCTGGACCAAGTCATTGAAGATGACCTCTTGCCACTCTTCGTAACAGCAACCTGCACAGCTGCATGGCCATCATCATTGCTCGGTGGTCGGTACCCTCTGGCCGCATGTTGGGTGGGCAGCGCTGAGCAGTGCGTACCATACGGCCCACACTGGACCGCAGGTCGGTACCCTCTGGCGCTGCCAAGCCCCTCCTGCACGGCTGAGCAGTGCGTATCACCGAGCGATGGCAAACTAGTGCCTGTATTAGTCGATGCTGACGCCGAGATCCTAGGGTCACCCGACACTGCATCAATCAGAGAAGGTAATGAAGGCTGGTCAGCATGCAGTTGCTCATAGTCATCTCGACCTGGGTCGAAAGGCCTGATAGCACCGTCGCTGAACAACCGAGGCATGTCGAAGAACTGTAAGTCGTTACCCAGCGTCGTCGTCCATGTCGGACTCATCCGTCCCTGCAGCATCATCGTGTGCGGCCAGGAGCTCGTCCCATGGATGTGAAGCTGGAATACCAGAGCCAGAGGCCAACGCAGACGGCGCATGAGCCCGTCGATGTTGTGCCAAGGCCGTCTGCAATTGAGTGACATGCGTGCTGAGCGATGCACATAGCGCTCCAAGATTCTCGGGCGTGGTGGAAGGCGCTGCCTGCACAATCTGCTCCAAGCGTTCGAGAGCGCCCGATACGTCACGATCACCGCCTTCATCTGGAGCAGAGCGCCCTGTGGCCAGTACCGCAGCACGTGCAGTAGTGACCTCTGAGTGAATCGTCGCCAGGTCCGCCGTCGCAGTCTGCAGCTCAGCCGCTTTGGTGTCATACTCTGCTTTGAGCCTGTCCACCTCACTCTGCAACGCGGTAACCTCCCGAGACTTCGCAGCCTGTCGATCCAACGCTCGGCGGAGAAGATCGTCAGGCGTTCGTTGTGAACGCTCCATGGCCTCTGCGGCCTGGAGCTCCTTGCGTGCAGCGACCACCAAGCCACTACTATCATCCAGGCCCAAACGACGCAAAGCTGCCACCGCCTTGCGTGCACGAGTGACTGCCTCAGATGCCGATGGGTCTTCTGAGGGCTCCTTCTCTCTGTCATCGCGGGCCTTGTCTTTGCCCCGCCCTGAGGACGGTGGCCTCGACGATCGGCGCCTTGTGCGGTCTGGAGGTCCAGCAGGGTCTGGCTGGCCCGACTTGTCCCTGCCACACATGTAGCACCTTGCCGAGGTAGCGAAATTACGAGCATAGCCGCACTGACGAGTAGCCGTGCACGACCAGCGCGGCTCACGTGGGTCATCCCGCTGAGATCCACGGCCGCCTTTGCCTCCTCCCATGAAACGGGAGGCGTGATGTTGAGAAAGTAGATGACGCGCACGATCCAGCCGTAACAAGTGTCGCGCAGACTGACGCAACCGCCGCTGCCGTCGATGCCACGCTGGTGACCTGGACCTCACTGTCGTCCTTGCCTCGCTTCGTCCGCACCTGGGCAGACGCAAGGCAACCAGAGCGCCCCTGCCTATCGCGCACACGAGGCCGCGGGCACGGGGCTGGGCGCAGGCGGCAAAACGCGACACGGGGAAAGGTCTCCCGTGCCTCAAGCCCACGCCTAGGAGGAGGAGGAGGAGGAGGAGGAGGAGGAGGAGGAGGAGGAGGAGGAGGGGCTCTCCGCCCTGGCCCGCGGGGGTGGCGCGGGGGGCGGGGGCGCGGCCCTCCGAGGAGGGCGGCGGGCCTCTCCAGAAGGCAAGGGGCCTTCTCAGGAGGGGAGGCTCCCGGGGAGCCTTCGGGGAGGCCGCGGGGGCTCTTGCAGTGCAGGCCCTTGCCTTCTCGGGAGCCCCCCCCGCCCTCCCAAGGTTCTGTCGGGCGTGTCCCTCCCCTACATGGGGATTGTCGACGAAAATGAAACGTACCCCAAACACATACCCCAAAAAGGTCCCCCCAAAAAACCCCAAAATAGTCCCTGGACAATGTTTGGCTCATTTTTAAAAATTATTTTGGAGTTTTTTTTTTTTTTTTTTCGTCGACAATCCTTCTGTAGGGGGGCAGGCCCGACATAATCCCAAGGAGTCCGCCCCCCCCCCGCCCCCGCCCGTGGGCGTGCCGCCGCCGCCCTCGCGACGCCGCGCCCTCGAGCCGAGGTCCTCCCCTGCGGTCGCTCTCGCTCTCTCCAGGAGGGGCAGAACACACACAGACACAGTGAATCGTCGATCCCCAGGAAAATGTAGGAAAACATGTGAAGTGGGGGGAGGACAAAAGCCCAGAAACTACAGGAACACATGTGGGGCATTTTTTTTTGTTGGTGTGTATTCATTTGTGTGTTTGCGGGCCCCTTCATCTCTGCGCCCTGGCACCGCTCGGGCGTGCGCGTCCGTTCGGACAAGGGCCATCGACAGGGGAGCAACAAGCGGCACAAACACACGAACTCGGAGGTCCGCGCGGATTTCTCGGGTCGGCGCTGGACCCCCCTTCCTGGCGCGCGGAGCGCGCCAGGGGCGGCGCCGGAGGCGCCGCCGGGGGGCCCTGGCGCCGATCCGAGAAATCCGCGCGGACATCCGAGTTTTTATGTTTATGCCACTTACTGTTCTCCTCTGTTCGGACAAGGACCATCGAGGAGCATCCTGGACCATGCGGCCCGACAGAAAGCACGCGCGAAACCGATGCATGCCATGCCGGGGCGTCGGCTTTGCCCCCAGGTGCGTCTCGCCGCGCCGAGGCTGCCCCCTCTCTCGCGTCGGCCCGGGCCGGGGCGCACTGGCGCAGGCACTTCGTCAGGTACGCGGTCATCCGGGGCATCATCGTCTACGCCCAGCAGAGGCGCTGTGGGCTCTGAGGGGATCGGCGGCGAGGGAGGGGGGGAAATGAGAAGTAGAAGACCTTCTCAGAAGTCGGCGGGACTTCTCAGAAGCCCTCCGGCCGTCTGAGACGTTTTCTGTGTCTTCGGAGAAGGCTTCGGAAACTTGTCAGAAGGCCGGGGGACCTCCGAGCCTTCTGAGAAGGCCTTCTCCTCCTCATTTCGCCCCCTCGCTCGCCTCCGATTTGAGAGAAGGCGGGGGATGCATGAATGAATGAAGGAAGGAATGAATGAATGAGCGAATGAACTCATGGGGTCCTGAACCGATCTCAGCCTGACGGCCAAGCTCAGAGGCCGCGGGGGTCTGGGAGCCGTTGGGTGGCGGCCAAGGTCTTCGCGGTGAAGTTGCCGAGTTCCTTCCTGGGGCGGGACGCTGGTTTCCGTGTGCGGATGGGCCAGCCCCCACGGGCCTCCGCTGCACTTGCGGTTCACTGGCGTTCGCCTCGGTGCCCATCGGCGCGACCTGCTTCGAGAGATACCCTGTGCGGAGGGCTCTGGCGCTGGCGGAGCCGCCCGCCGTCTGGGCGCCTGCGCCCGATGCTGCAGGTGGCGGCGCTTTGGGGGGCCCCTGCGAGGGATACCTGCTCTGCTGCTGGGGCCGCCGTGGTCGAGCGGGACGCGAAGACCGAGTACATCGGAGAGCGCCTCGCGGAGCTGGAAGGGTGGGCGGGCGCGACATCCCGTCCTTTCGTTCGACGGCTGGCGCGGCTCCGCCAAAGCGGTTCCAGCGAGCAGGGCGCGTTCGCTCAGGTCGTCTTACAGGGCAGACGTGGAACATTCGGAAGCCCGCTGCCGACTACCTGGCTGCACTCGTTCAGCTGGTCGGCGAGCTTCGCCTCAGCCCGACGGAGCTCGAGGAGATCGAGTCGCTCTCGTTGGAAAGGGGAGGCGGAGCTCATCGAGCAGATGGCGCAAGCAGGGGCAGAGGAGGATCGTATCTTGAACCTGCCGGAGTTTGAGAGCAGTTCGCTTGTGCTCTTCGATGCGCTGGGAGCGGTCGGCGGTGCAGGCCGCGCAGAGGAGGCGTGCGGGGAGACTGGGTATGAGGAGCTGGAGCTGCTGCGCGACATGGGGCCGCGGCGTCTGAGCTGGTTCCGCGGCAGGGTCGCGGCGATGTGGCTGACTCTGAAGGCGGGGTGGAAAGAGCCACCCGAGGACGACGCCGACGCCGAGTGGCCTGGCGGCGAGTCCGAGCACGCGCTGAGGGCAGACACTGGCGGCGTCGAACCGTGCGGGGGCCCTTTGGCGCGAGAGTGGCGCGGGCGGATCGTAGTCGTTCGTGCCCGCGGTTGAATGCTATTGGCTATTGCGTGCGCGGGCCTCCAGGGGCCCTTGAAGAGAGAATATGCGCCCACCGTGTTGGCCCGCAGCCAATTCGGCAGGCTCTAAAGGCACGGGTGCCACTTCCCACCACCCGCCAGCCCACCCCTGAGTTCTGACCCTTACCACGTCCTTCGGAGCTTGGCTTAGCTCGCGCGGCATGCGCAGTCCGAGCGCGGGGGGAGCGGGCCAGGGAGAGGAGCTGCAGCATACGTCACAGGCCCGCAGCAATGCGGGGGGCTGTTTCAGCACGGCAGCGAACCGACACCGCGAGAGGAGGAGGAGGGCCCCCGCGGCCACCGCTGGAGTCGATTCCAAGCTCTTGGTCAGAACGCACCCCGGTATACGCGCACCAAGCAGCATTATCGGCATTTGTTGGTCCCCCCAAAAGATCAACCACAACGGGTGGGGTCGAGCGCCCTCTTGGCGCCGCCCCCTGGCGAGCAGCGCGCGCCAGCGGAAGGGGGCCAGCGCCGATCCAAAAAGTCCGCGGGCACTTCGGGAAGCTGGTGTTCGTGCCGTTTTGTTGCTCGTATGGAGGTGATGATGGTGTTGATGGTGATGATGATGCTGATGATGTTGATGATGATGCTGATGATGATGCCGCCGATGATGCTGATGATGGTGATGTTGATGATGATGGCGCTGGTTATGATGGTGGTGATGATGATGCTGATGATGATGATGATGATGATGTTGATGATGCTGATGATGATGAAAATGATGGTGATTATGATGATGATGATGATGATGACGATGATGATGATGATGATGATGATGATGATGGCCCTCGTGGGCCAGTGCCGCATCCACGGAGGCGGCGGGGCCGCACGCCGTCTCGGGGGCGCGTGGCGTGGCAGGGTCGACTACACGTGATAGAGGGCCTTGGCCCGCAGCCATTTTGGCCCAGGCCCGCCCGCGGGCGCCAGCGAGCGCTGTCCTCGGCTGCGCGTGTCCTCGTGGCCCAAAATGGGGTCCAGCTGAAAAGGGGGTGGTGCAATAGATCTGGGGCGAATGTATTGCAAGTGTATTGCGCCAGAGAACGGTATTGTATTGTATTGCAAATGACGTATGGCGCACGAAAAGCCAGCAATACATTTGCGCACCGAAATGCATTGCACGCCCCAAATCCACTGCAACTCCACAAATATATGGCACCATATCTATTTTCGCTGGACCCAATTTTGGATCAACCAGAACGTGAGGAGTGACCCTCTGCTGGAGCGACCTTTGGGGCGCAGCCTTCGGGCTGCGGTAGGTTCGTGCCGTGTTGGCGGCTGCGGCCCCAACGCGGGCGCTCAAGGTTGAACGGCGGCGGCGGCGCCGAATCGGCCAATATGGAACGATCTGGCGACTGAAGCACCGCCGATCGTTCACGGTTGAACGGCCTGCGC